CAGCTGGTCTGTTAGGCGGTCAAGCCAGTCGCCAGCTCTTCACTCACTCGACCGGCCGCGCCAATCCTCACTCCGACGGCCGCCTGCATCCTCGCACTCTTCTCTCGCCTCCCTTCGACCAGCCGACCAGTTGTAGTTAGGCGTCGTAGCGAGAGCATGGCCAGCTCGACGGCCACCATCGCGACGGCCACGTCGATCGCCAATTGCCGAATAGGCGCCGAGTCGGCGTGTGAGACGACCGAGTCAAGAGTGACCGGCAGCTCCATGAGCCCGGCTCTGACCTGCCCACCCAGCCCACCGGCCGTCCAGCGGCCGAGAGGCCCCGGCCTCCACAAGGACGCAGCCGGCTCCGGCCTGTGGTCCGGTGAAGGTGGGATCCCGGTCGCCTGGCAGAGGCGGCAGCAACAGCCGGCCGTGCAGAGCGCCGGCAAGGCCAGTCATCATCCTGTTGCCGGCCCGATGGCCGAGATGCTCGACGAGGAGGACAAAGAGAACTGTCCGCCAAGGACGACCGCTTTCCTCGGACACCAAACACCAACAACTGGTGAGATGGCTCCGGTCAGGGAGGGGGACAAGGCGCATTTCGGACTGGGAGACGGAAAACGGACCGCGGAGTCGGAGACTGAGGCGGCCACGCCTGGCCTGCTTCCGGTTGGGGCTCAGGACGTGGGCCACACGGTTCAACAGTTGCCCGGCCACGGACAGCCTTTTGGATATGGATTCTACTTTGCTAACATTGGTGGATTTCGGTACCAGGTTCGCCGGCCCGTTGAGTCATGGAAATACTCCGAGGTGAGATTTATGCGTATAAATAAATCAGACAGGCTTTGGGACACATCAAGTTATATGCTAAAAATGGAGAATTTACTCCCTTTTATTTCTGTCAGCTTATTTTGCCACTTGTGCGCATGCTCACTGTCCTCGTTCCGAGTCCCAAAAGAATGAGCACTGTCATGTCCATACTACTTTCCACGCCTACATTGCAGAAAAGGAGTAGTATCGCAGAAATAAAAGTTCCGTTCAGTCTAGGCAGTAAATAACGGTGAATTACTGATAGTCTAATTCTTACACAATCAAATGAGTAGGTTCCACGATGACCGTAAAGTTCGCATAGCTTTCGACATGCGTCTACAACACCACATTGCTACGTGTGCCGGTAGGCCAAAGGGCAGACGTGACATTTTCTTTCGTGCTTTCCGACGAGTCCAAGTTGTATTTTCACGGTACAATCGACTAAGTTACTTACATGCATAGAAAGTAGTTTGCAAGAGTATCGATAAATCTTGAGTAAAAGATCTAACCACCCTAGGCCACATAAGGGGGAGATTCTGATAGACGAATTTTGCCACGATGCCTCACGATGCCATTCACACAACTTTTCTGTCTCTTCTTATGCAGAAAAAAAACATTATCCTTGAAATAAGAATTATACAGGCCATGTGGGTGCAAGGACTGATATTTACAATGTATAACAATCATATGAATAAACTTCACGTTTCAATTGACTTTTACTTATCCTCGCCTCCCAAAAGGTATTCTCAGCCCGACCGAATTGGGCTGCAGTTTCGAATTCGCCTGTATCTCATCAACACCACCAACACGAAAAGAACCTGTGTATTGTAGCCTATGTTAACACCATGTGGCAATGTGGTCTAGTGTGGAAAATGCACGGAACTCCTACCAAGTTCGATTCCCGATGAAAGTGTGGATGAACGCTAGGCCAGGCCGAAACTGCGGTCAAACTCAACAAGGATGCGAACACCTTTCAAAAGATAGAATAG